AATAAAATAAACGCGATAGTTACTGGATATTTTCTTCAAGAGATCAATACAAAGCCCATACGGAAGCTACACAATGGATATGGGGAAACTTTTTTTCTCTGCATCTCTTATCATACATAGCAGGGGACAATAGAGACAGAGCGAGAGTAAGATTATACATTCCTTCTTAAGCCTTTTACATGTATAACAATGTCATTCGGTGACTTGAGATACAAACTAGTTCAATGTGAAGAGCCTCTTCTTCAAGGGTTAAGACTTGGAAGCTCTCCTCCTTCCTCTCCAAGGGCTTTCTTGATGTCTTTCTGTTTGCAGAAAACAAGAAACAGATGTAAATATATATGCAATAAGATAAGAAGAGATGTGTATATACATGTAGATAGTCTAGCTACAGACCTCGATGGATAGCGGAGAAACAGTTGGGCCATAACGATCAATGACTTGACCATCTTTCCCAACCAAGAACTTGGTGAAGTTCCATTTGATCCTAGCTCCCAAAAAAGTGGGTTTCTTCGACTTGAGGAATTTGTAGACTGGTGCTGCGTTTTGTCCATTTACACGCACCTAACGCATTTACATAACGCCGCGTATACAGTTATAAAACATAAATCAATGTCCAGAGAAAAGACTAACAATTACATCAATCAACAAGTGTTTTGAGTCCAATTTCCAAAGCATCTTGATGTCAAGAAACAACATTTCATGAAGTGGTTTTATATATGGAAATCCAATATTACCTTTTGGAAAACAGGATACTCAGCCTTAAACCTAGTACAAGCAAATTCATGAGCCTCTTGGCTAGTCCCAGGCTCTTGTGACAAAAACTGGTTACAAGGAAACGCCAAGATCACAAACCCTGAACATAGCAAAATCCAGTCATTCAAAGCTCTACAGTATCATCATCCCAACAAATATGAGCAAGATTTAGATTACAAAAAACCCTAGCCTAGAATCATAGAGAGAGAGACCTTGATCTTTGTACTTCCGGTAAAGTTCAGTGAGCTGGGTGTAATTGGATTCGGTGAAACCACTGTTCCACAAATCAAACACAAATTTAGAAACTAAACACAAATTAAAAGATGGTAGAAGAAGAAAACAGACCATTTCGAAGCAACATTGACGACGAGGAGAACCTTCCCTTGGTAAACGCTAAGGTCAACTTCCTTGCCGGAGCTATTCTGAATTCCGACC